TGTAAAAGACAAAGACTGCCAATCTCAGGGGAAAGGTGGAAGCAAAAGCTGGTCTCTGAAGGCTACACCAGCTCCGCAGAGAGCCAGATACAAAGCAGGTAGCCTTGGGAAGAGGCACACCTACTCTGCAGTACACAGGGAAAATACATGCTCTCCCAGGCGCTCCCAAATTCCGTGTCTATTTTCCTATATACTTCTGATAACCTTTACATTTTCAGGGAACACATCTGCTTCCTAACTGCAGCTGAAATGTTTTTTTCCCCCTTTAAAAGTATGATTATGCTTCTGAAGCACTGTCTGTGTGCTTGATTGCCTGTTTTAGATTAGAGATTTTAGCAAGGAAACAAAGACTTCAGAGTGCACATCAGTCCTGCATATGAGAAACCACAGAAGGAATAAGCAATAAAATGTGATGCACCATCTGTCCACAAACAATAACCTGGATGTTCTGAAGGCTTACAAATTATTTAGCACACAACCTCACCAAATTATAGGACCCTTAAATAGAGCAATAGACTAGGAATGAGAACCTCTCTGATGTCCTTTTGTATTTTTTCCCCCCCAACTCAGCCCTCGATTGATTGCTATCAGTTGAGGTATTTCTCAATGACTATCGGAGCAAGTTGATATTTATTAAGTAGCTCTCTGTAGAATATTTTGCCACAGATTTGAACAGTGGGGTATACGCTGCCTCCCTGGCCCTCGCCTGCTGCAAACAGATTGTTAATCAAAAGACAGTCTAAAAGAATAGTCAGTTGGGAAATTCAGTCCTAAGGGCAAAATGCTGCCCTCCGTACTCATGCGCAACTCCCGCTGGCTTCCACAGGAGCTCACGGGAACGCTCAGTGAGGAATTTGATTTTATTAAGGACTGGAAGGGTTCTGACTGGACTCTTGTAGAACAAATCTCTAACAAAGAATCATATTTTAATTCCTCTCCCCTCCCCAAATTGTATCCTGCTGCAATTAAAAACAAAATGACATTTTTTTCCTAGCTGTCATGCTGAAGCACAGTGATCTTGCATGCAAAACGCATTAGCAACTGAGCACACTCCAGGTACTGTAAACTAGAGTATGTCAAAGCTACTGGATCCCTAGACAAACCTGGCATCCCTCAGCAATATGCACACATACCAAAATCAAGACATTCAGAGACATTCCCTGTGTTAGGGATAGAAGATTTTGGCTCACGATATTTAACTGTGAGATCATGTTAAAAAACCCAAAGAAACAAACACAAAAAATACTCAAAAAATATATACTGAATTACAGAATTTCTAGATCTCCTGTTTTGTTCAACCTCATCTCTACATTAAAAATTCCTGAGTTTTTAGTGAACATTAGCATCTGTTTTTTTCCAGTTGAAGCATGCCTCTGAACCTGCACTCCAAAATAAATCAGCATCCCTAAAATCCACCCACTTCATTTTAAAAAGAAAGAGCCTGCCTTAAATATTTCTTTTGCTTTGGTTTCCATAAAATTTTTTCTGCAGATTTTCCTAACACAACATTTCCCACGCTGGCTCTCAGCTAACAAACATCCAGACCCACCTACTGAAAGTCTTCTCATTGTGGTCTTTACTCTTCTGCCTAGATGGCAGACCAAAATTCAAATAAAAATAGATGTTAGAAGACAGAGAATTTTTTTTTATCATATTCTTTTTGACAAACAGGGGCCAAGAGGGAGGTAACTGTATAATTAACTTTAGATGTGCCTAATGTAACTCCATTATCATTGATGAGTCTTATGGAGAGACACTGAGAGGGAAATGTGCCTTCTAGAGTTTCATAGTGGAGCCAGCACTATTAAAGAATATTTCAGTATTTAGACCCTGATTCAGCAAATTGCTGAAGGTTATGCATGCTACAAAGCCTGTAAGTCATCCCACAGGCTAGTGTGGGAATGCACACGCACTTACACAAGACATGAGCCTAAGTTGTCTCTGAGCTGGGGGCTTGTATCTTGGCCCTTACTTACAAAGATTCATAAAAGAGACAAGAAAATTTGCCTGGGGGAAGAAGCTGGCACATTACATCCTTTCATTTTGAATCTATGCTCCTTTTTGTATTTATTTTTTGCATTCGCTTTTATGTGGCGTTCGCTCCATGTGTAAAAGGGACAGAGGGCTCCAAGGACGCAGGTTGGGTGAGGGGCCACCAGCCCATCACCTGTGGAGGGGGACCTGTGGCACCATCCTGGCCAGTGCCTGTCAGCAGGATGGAGCTCCCTGGGCCAGTACTAATTGGGAGAGTGGTAATTTTATCCTCACGGAGGGTCACATGGATCTGACTGACTGGTGCACGTATTACATGGAGAACAACAAACACCCAGAGCTGAGGCTGCTCCTCCAAGTGTCTCTAAAGCCAAGTGTCACCACCCAGCGAAGGGCATGTGATGAACACGCAGCAAAACCCTTAAATGTCACAGGAAACAAAACCAAAATCCTGTTCCAATAACTTGGAAGTTACAGACACTAAATTGTGTTGGTAGACAGAGGATCAGGCGTTACTAAGGGGTTTTATTTCAAATAAAATTGGAGAAGTCCAAGATTTTTATAGGCAGTGGGACAGTGACCAGTTAGGGTGTTTGGGGGGTTTTTTTGGTTTTTTTTTTGTTTTTTTTTTAATTTAAAGTAAAATAGCTCCCTAACTATCTCTGAAGAACTTAAGCTGATCACAGCATGTCAGGTAGCAAAGAGGAAAACGTCCCAGCCTTGCTCCAAGCCCTGCTGCCTGTAGGAGAGCCACTCAATCCCACGAAAGCCTCACTGACTTTCACAGTCTTCCAAAGAGAAGGTTTACTTATATGAAATCAATGGTAGGCTCTGGGCTTTCAAGCAAACTGATACACACTTGGGTTTCTCTGTGTATAAACCAAAATCATTTTGCAACAAAACTAATGCATACAGTGGTTAGAGGGGGCCAAAATATTTTGCCTTCTGCAGAAGGCATGCAGTCTCTCTGATTTCAACAAATAATCCAACCCAGGTAACTTTTCTCTTTCTACCATTATGCTAATCAGAACTGAGAGGTCTATAAATGTACTTAAGGAGACAACTAAAAAAAATTAATCTGTGGTTTAACTTAAAGGTCAACTCAATACATATTGAGAAGTCAACTGAAATTCTGCCATTAAATATAATCACTCCTTCTAGGGTGGTAAATACTGTGCAGAAATACCCATCAGGAGCCAAACTGATCTCAGATGAGAGCAGGATTGGAGCTGCACATGGATGGAGGACAGAGCGCTGATCTTGGGTACAGGCCCCTTCCAGTCTGAGCCTCTGAGTGTAAAGACACATGCCACTGGAAAAGCTCCTTTAAAATCCATAAGTTTTGAATAATTTAGTGAGATATTAAATATATATATATATATATATATATATATATTTAAAAAAACTGTGGCTTTTTCTGGACTTTTCCCAGCTTTCTGGATTTACTTTCAGGCATTTTCCGTAACACGAAAGGCTAGAGACTTCCTTTCTTATAAAAAAAAAAACAGAGAGATGTTTCTCTGTAATCACCTGGCTACCATGGTGAAAGCCTTTCAGAAATAGGAAATCACAGTAAAATCAGGAAGAGCGAGGACAACCATGTCCTGAGCCTCTGCCCCTGCCCCTGGGCTCTGTGACAGGCGTCCATCCCGAGTTGATATTGTACATGCAATTGTTCACAACCTCAAATCAGTTTCCCTATTTATTACAGAAAGAAGTAAATTCAATAAGGTTTAACTAGCATTTTATACATGTACAAACTTATTCTTTAAATTTTTATAAACGAGAGGTACATTATAGGCATTTTCTCCTGAAATAATATTAAAGATTTGGGGAGGGAAGGCACAAAGGTCAGATTTAAATCCTGAAGGTAGCATAAAAAATTTAGCTAACACTGTTTATATATATTTTTGTGTAGCATGTGTCCTGACAGTGTCACCATCAGCATGAGCTCCAGAATTCATAATCCACTGTGCTATTTTTTAAAATAGTTTGATTTGTTTATTAACTGTGCTTTCCTATTTCCATGAGATATAGACATCGACAGTGAATAGACCTTTTCTAATTGAACTGATAGCTTGAAAGTGAACATGTCCTTGAATTTACACTGAAAGATAGACAGTGATTATTTATAATAAGGGATTTAGTCAACTGCCTTTCCATTTGTACAGCAAGGACTTTATCAACAGACCATGTTTAGGTAAATAGTGCCAAATAAGATAAATTTTGTATTAAAGGACGAATGTCTCACAGTGTCAGATGTACAAGGAAGAGACATTTGGCTGATGATATGTCCTGTAAGTATAAAAGAGAGTATTAAGATAACACTTTATGCTAGCATTAATACATCAAAGTTCTGGACTGACCTGTTTCATCCAAAGTGAAAGCGAGGATGCTCTTAATTCCTATCTAAGATTAATTTAATTCAGAAGGCATTCAGCCTTATGTCCTGTTTTGCAGCTTTATAAGAATTGCTGGATTTGCAAAATAGCACGGCTGTACGTATGTTAATAAATGGTCTGTATTTGTCTAGGCAGAGTTGAAGCCTTTCTTTAAAAACACACACACACAACTCCGGCTCCGTGAGCTTGCTTTGCCCACAATATTAGAGCTCAGCTATCTCCTTGCTGAAGGGCCTATTTGTCTGCTTTAAGTGAAATCACTCAATTCTCAAAAGTCAGTGGAGGACTTTGGAAGGGGGAGGGCTGGGAGAGGCCACTCCAAATAAGTTCCATTAATCAAAAGACACAGTCTAATGTAACTAATATTTTACAATTAGAGAAGACAAGATGGAACTAAAAGCCATCTATCTCTCTTACACCACATGATCATCGATTCATAATCAGAAGACTGAGAGTCGCACAAAGATGCATTTACAGGGGCTGGGGGAGGGGGCTGGGTCGGAGCCGGAGATAATGAACACGATGAGAAGGAGCGGCGCTGAAGGCTGGGGAAAGATGACAGAGTGGTTCAATGGTGACGGATGACACGAAGATGAGTACTGATACCTGACAGGCAGCGAATGATGACTGCAGTCCTTTCCCACCATTATGATCCTCAATTATCTTGGTAAGGACTAAGAGGGAAAAAAAAAAAAAAAAAAAAAAGCCAAAGTGGCTCAGCCCATCCGTTTATTTATAAGCTGGGATAATGCTAGAGTGTGCCAGGCTGCTGGGAAAGGCCACCTTTCGCAATTTGATCAGCACTTTATAGGAGCTGTAGTTTTCATTGTCAGCGCTCATGGGCACAAGGGGAAATGGGTAAAATACAGTACTTGTCCATCTGTTTTATAATAAAATTCCTAAATCTTCAAAGGGAGTTATTTTTTTTCTTTCACTGCCACCTTCAGGAAAAAAAACCCCAAACCCTGGGCTGACCAAAAAAAAATAAAGGAGAAAAGAGAAAACTCGCTTTGTATTTGCACATGGAATTAGTGGGTTGCAGCCTATGCTCCCAAAATTCCACACACAGATTTATCCAAATGACTGATACGTGGTGGGGAACGAGCCAGCACAAGCAAGAGCTGGAGCTGCGAGGATTGCAGGAGCAAAGTGAAGGGGAACTTTTAAAGATTCTTCATTGATTTAGGGAATTATTAATAAAAAGGGAAGAAAGTTCGCTCGAGACTGCTTTGTAGTTGCAGAAGATGCCACAGGCTAGCATTTCTGTACCAAAGAATATGCCGTTCTGCTACATTATTTATTTTTAAAGACACAGATCTCCTAGCTATGTTGGAATCATTGCTTTGGAGAAAAAGAAAAACAAATTAAGATTAATGTTCTACACAGCTCCCGATAGCAGTAAATATTTGATCAGAACAATTCACATTTAAATGTTGACATACTAAAAATCATATTTTTTGGAAGAAATATTTCTTCTTGCTTTGACCGAAACTCTCCAGTTCCCTTCCTCCCCGGGGCCTCTTGGAGAAACAGTCACACAATGTAGCACCCCATTTCTCACCCAGGAAAAACAAAATTTAAAAAAAACCAGGTCATAAACAGCTTTGCTTGCTTAAAAAAAACCCAACTTAATATATGTATAAAAAAAATCACACACACTGTACAGGTCACATGTGCTCTGCAATCCTAACTGCCTTTTTTCCCCTCTCAGCTTTATCCAAAGGAATGGGCTGCTTGGTTTAGCACAGCACAGTGGTCTGCACCAGCTGAGAAGGGCACAGTGAGCTGCCCGCAGAGCCCACTTCTCCACTGCTCCTGGGCACAGGCTCACAGCAAAGGTGCCGTGCTGCACATTTTGGGCTGGTGACCACCTAGTCCATCACAGAAATGGGTTTACAGGTCTGTCTGCAGCCCTGCCTGCTCACCAGGGGCAGGAACAAACCAGCCAAGAGCCATCAATAGCACCGGCTTTGATGCACCAGGTAGGCAACCTGAGCCCAGCTTGAACATAAAGCAACTTAAACACCAACACACCAGGCTTCATCTTTCTCCACACTAAAACCTCCCATGTACTTTTCCTGGCTGCAGGACTGTTAGCAAAACAGTTTGTATCAGCAAAAAACCCAAACACATCAGAACAGAGTTGTGTCATCTGTGGTGGAAGTGCCCCCCTGCCCGTCCTGTTGGCCAAGGGGCCTGTAGTAATAAGCCTTAAGTGAGTTAGCAGGTGCCTCTTGTTATCAGAGAAGTTTAGAGCAAAGGTTCCTAATTTTGGCTACATATATTAAATAAAATAATAGATGGAGGGGAAAAAAATAGTGATAATTATCCTAAATATATTTGCATCATTATGTGAGTAATGACTACCTTAAAGCCCTGAGTGTGAGTTGGGCACTGGGGGTGAGAGGTGTTGGACACTTCAATGCCAAGGGAAGGCAAGGACGTATCAGGACATGTGTCCACAGGGCTATGTGGGACACTGTTGGGTTGACAAACAGCAAGTCCCCAAAGGAGTAAAAACATTCTATGTGCCATACTGCAGCTTTTATGGAGCTGCTCCTTAATTTCAATGGCTTCCACCCTTTTCCACAGAGAATATGCTTGTTAGACCAGGTTTTAAAGGAACATAGGAAATGGACCACACTGGTACAAGAAACAGATCCCCCATCTCACAGAGAGTGTGTGCACAACGAGAAGCCTTGCTGGAACAAGACTATAAATATTCCAAGAAGCACTTCCCAGATTTCCATTTAGGAATCCTAATTATGAACAAATGTCCTTAATCTGCCCACTTCATACATCTGAGATTTAAGACAGGTTGAATCCATGATCATCATCATAATTAGCCCAAACAAAAGGGCCAGATGTGAGAAGCATGGCTCTGATGTCGGGGGTCTTAATAGCAATTGATCAAATATTGTATAGCTATAACTGGTTTTCATAAATAACATATCCTCAGAAGTGATGATAACTGACACACTGTAAAATGCGTTTTGTCTGGGTTTTTTTGCAAGAGCACAAGCTTCACTTGTGCACAAGTTGGACCCCTTTCCCTGTAACATCATTTCAGCATTTGTGGCAAAACAACTCAACTGCCATCGGTGGGTTCACAGTTGTGTAAAATTGGACTATCATAGTGATTAATTGGGCTAACTTAATCTGTACATGCAAATTAAGTAACAAATACGTAATTTAGCACATGTGTGCAATAGTTTAATTTGCACATACAGTCATACTCTTTGGGTAAATGTAATACACGATCATGAACATTTTTTTTTCCTGCCCTTGTTTGCATGTGTAAATTCTCTCCAAAAAAATTCACATTATTTATATAGAATCCAAATAAACAAATATTTCTTTTATCTGCCAATATCACCTCTGTTTTCCAAATAGCTACCACTAGAAGTTATGTATATTTATGAACTAGAAGGCAAACTAATAAAAAGGATAAAAAAGCAAAAAAACAAAAATCTTACAATTAAAATGTGGTTGTTTGTGCTTCAAATCTAACAAGCAAGAGTTTTAGAATTTTGCTTGAATAAGCGCTGCAAAACTGAAGCTTTAAAATAAATTTTTAAAACTCTACAGAAAAGAGTTTTACTTGTATTAGAGTAAAATAGTTATACACAATGCTAAGATTTTGTTATCAACAGAAAATTAAGAAGCTGAGGTTTATTCTGCTGGCAGTTCAGACCACGAGGGTAATGTAACAGCTGCCATTCAACATGCAGCAGCAATATAAGCTAAAGTTTAGCCTTTTTGTCACCTCCGGAGCTTTTAATCAGCGGGATCTGTTCAAGAAACGCCTGGATGTGACACTTAGTGCCATGGTCTAGTTGACAAGATGGTGATCAGTCAGAGGTTGGGCTCGATGATCTTAGGGGTCTTTTCCAACCTAAACGGTTCTGTGAAGTAAGAGATTGAAGCCTGAACGCTGCATTAATAATTTAATACAAAATTAACCAGGAATTATCTTCGAAATGAGGAGGAGAGAAAAAAAAAAATAAAAATCAACTCACAGGGAAAATAATAAAAAGAAACAGGAGTACAAGCGCCGCACGGTAAGGGACGGACTCGGGAATAATTGCTTAGCCGGACACGCCGCTTAAAAAAAAAAAAAAAAAAGAAAAAAGAAAAAAAACCCAAACCACCACACACAAAACAAAACATCAAAGGGAAAGGCGCGGGGCACCGTCAGGTCCCGGGGCGCGGTGTGGACCGAGGGAGAAGCGATGGACGCAGGAATGTGTCCGTGTGTCCATCCCTCCCCGTGCGCGGGCCGGGCGGTCTGCAGCGCCACCTGCCGCCCAGCCCGCAGCAGCGCAGCGCGGGGGGCGCAGCGCGGCCCCGAGGCCGGGCCGGGTCACGGCGCGGTCACTGTCACTGTCACTGTCACCGAGCCCTCACTGTCACTGTCACTGTCACCGAGCCCGCGCCGCACCCGGACAACGCCCCGAGCCACGGCAGGCCGGGAATTGCCCGTGCGATCCGGTATTGAGAAGAGGGACGGGCAGGGGTGCGGGTTCGCGCGCTGACAAACCTGCCAAAATGCCAGGATCTGTGTGCCAGACGTACCGAATCACAGGATTAAAGGTTGGAAAAGACCTTCGAGATCATCGAGTCAAACCTTTGACCCAACACCACCTTATCTGCCACTAGACCACAGCACTGAGTGCCACATCCAGTCTCTTCTTAAACACCTCCAGGGACGGCGACTCCACCACCTCCCTGGGCAGCCCATTCCAATGTCTGATCACTCTCTCTGTAAAGGACTTCTTCCCAATGCCCAACCTAAACCTCCCCTGGTGCAGCTTAAGACTGTGCCCTCCTGTCCCACTGCTGGTTGCTTGGGAGAAGAGACTGATACCCACCTGGCTACACTCTCCTTTCAGGTAGTTGTAGAGAGTGTGCACTGTGCAGCTCTGTGGGGATGATTTTTGGGTGGTACTGCTGAGAGGCTTTGCTCCATGCCAACGAGCCACTGCATTGATTTGTTTAATGCTTATGCAGCAAACTGGCTGGTTGGGGGGAACAGCCTAATTTCAGTCTATATTCTACATGGAAGTGAGTAGGGGCATGAGAATTACAGCCATTCAGTTGTGGCTCTTGCAGCCTCCCCAGCTGTTGGCATGGCCTGAGCCCTGGGACTTCTCTGCACCTTTGGGCCCAGAGCACAGGTTTTGCTCATCACTCCATCCCTCAGGAAGCCAGAGCTGCTCACCAGGGTCTCTCTTCCAGGCCCTATTCTGGGGTTGGACCCACACAGCTCCTGTCCATCGGCTGACTGAGGTTCCTTAGAGGACATCGTCCACTTCACAAATCAGATATTTAACAATAAAACTAGTACAGCATGTTCCTCTGCTGCGTGCACAACAGCACTGAAGTGCTGGCATGAGTCTCCCACGCCCCATTTCAGAAGGATGAAACTTTGCTTACTGCAGACTTTCTGCGGGCTGGGGAAGGGCTCAGAGCCACTGTGGAGGGCACTGAGGACAGTGTGGGTGGGCAGCAGAGCTGCTCCCCTGGCAGGTGCAGCCTGATCTGCAGGACAAAGAGCTGAAAATGAGATCAGATTCTGCCTCAAACTATCTGCAGCATCAAAACCCTTTTGTGATCTTATGACTCACGTGAGATCAAATCTTGGCCCCAGTAATAGCAGACAAAAAACACTTCTTAAATTAAACAGGGAGTTCTTTCATCCTGCAAAGAAGGAACTTCGCTACAACAAAAACAACTAAGTGAACAGAAAAGAGACAAATGAAGGGAAAGGCAGGGTTGGAATCAAATGGGAAAAAAAGAGAAAAAAAAGTAAATCACATTACTAATTGACTCAAT